AACAAGGAGCAAAGCGCCGCGCTCAGCCACGACACCAGCAGCTCCAACTAACCCTCTGCCTCGTCAGTATTAAGCCTAAAAAATGGGTAAGAGGGAGGCTCGGGCAGCTAAGGGTGGTGCTGTGCTCTCCAAAGATGCCTCCCCACCACGGCAGGGCCCCCGGGGAAGGCAGATTTATGTCCTTTGCACAGGACATAACAGGCAGTTTTGAGTTATGTCCTACGTCCTTTGTCCTCGCTATCTCCTCTGCTGTGTCCTGCTCAGGTCAACCACACGCTTCACAGTGACCGCAGGATGCCAAGGGGAATTTGAGGAATCAGCCTTCCCGTTTTATTGATAAAGGAAGCCACGTGCACAGARGAAGAGGATGGCTGTGAAAGAAGAAATGACATCTGAGGGAAGGCCTCTCAATTCACAGCCCCACAGCCTGGTCATCAAAGCTGACTTCTCTTCTTTGAAGCTGCTCCAGAGCCCTGAGGCAGCAAAGACTCGGGATGTGCAAGGGGAGCGCAGAGGCTCACAATTAATATCCTTGTGTTTCAAACAACCCAGGAAGGCTGCAGGTACTGATTTATCCCTGTAACAAACCAAGCTGGACGCTGCACGTGCAATTTACTGGTAACGGTGGTAATCTGAAGCAGGAGGAACTTCCCCGCAAAGAGAGACTGAGGAAAATGTGAAACTCCATTGATAAAATACCAACATGCTGCAATTTTGGCCCCAACACATACTTCAGTTTTTAACTGAAGTAAATAATCAGCCAAATATTACATAATAATTCCACTATAGAAATCTGGGCAGACCTGCCAATGCATCTCAGCTTTGCTTTACAGCTCACCTCCGATTCCCCTGGGAACACCTAATGAATGAGGACAGTTAATCATCCTGAGCAATAAGGTGTTTTAAACGAGGACAGATGCCTTCTGCCAGCAAAGCTGAAACTGCAAAATTAGTTTAACTTATGTCTTACAGTGAGCAGGAACTAAGCCAAGCCCTCCAGAGAAAGCAGGTCCATGCTCTGCTATTTAACTCCCTGCTCCTGAGAAGCAGGTGGAGACGGGCAAAGAGACACAGCTCAGGYCTTAATCCCCACCAAAAAGAAAGAATAAACAGGGGTAAAAAGCAGGTGAGATTGTGTTATCCATCACATCTCACGTTGTCCTCGCATGATCAAGGYCAGGCTCACCATCACTCTTTTGTAATTCTCTGCAATGCTGAGGGAACCAACTGCTGCTTCCTGTACCCATGGCAACTCGAGCAAAAGCTCTTTGGTGAATAGGGTGGGAAATTGCAGGAAATTTTGGCCGTACATTGGTGCAGACGAAAACTGCAACAATACATTTATTACAGCTTCCCACCCCAGCAGCTGCTCATTCACTACCAAGGTCCTCCAGCACAAGAGAAACACGGCTACCRGAGCAAAAACCATTATTTTGTCTGCACTCATCTCTCTTTTGTACAARTGTAATGTTTAAAAGAACGGCAAGGTTGAAAATCAGATCAAAAAACAGACTATTTTTCTGAAACTCACCTCTTCTTGAAATTTCTTCAGCTGCTGTTCGTATTCTCTAACCATATCCTGTTTGGCTTTTTCCGTGTCTTCCAACTGCTGCCGCAGCATGCCCACCTAAAGAAAGGCATGGGAAGGCAGAGAAACAAAACGAGAGCTTTGGCTTTGACCCATCCACCTCCTGGCTTTTGTTTTGGCTATTTGCATGTGGCCTTTCCATCAAATTGGTCATAGATTACACATTAAGGTTATAAAGTATCTATGGACAAACGAGACCCATGGCGTGACCTCAATGCTCTCAGGTGGAGCAGAGCCCTTGAAATRACACCTACAGCTGAGCGGGGCTTTGAAACTCATGGGGAGGACTTAGTTATATTGATTTAAAGGCTCCCTTGACTCATTTTCACCTTCTTCTTGTCCTTCTCCTACCCACAGGAGAGCCACCTTTCTAATTGCAGGCCCAAAAGACTGCAAAATCCAATAAACAAGTAATAGACAATAGGCTTTCAGGAAATAATAGCAAAAAAGAATCCTACAAATAAACCAAAAGCATGAATATGCTCTTGTAGTGATTTTAACCATGCCTTACAGTTAATTTTTTTCACATAAATGTTTCTGATGGTAAGAAATATTTCAAAAAGGCCTAGAGAAAACACAAATTATAAGATCTTGTTACCCTTAACACAGCTATAGGCAAAATTTAACACCGTATTTCAACTTTAAACAACAAAGAAAAAGYCAGTTCTGAGAAAATGATAACTTTCACACAGCACACTTCTATGCAAAGTCAACAGCAGCCCTCATGCTGAATTGTAACRTGTAAAACCCAAGGGACCACGCTGAGCAGGCGGCGGGGAACTGAGGCGGTACCTCCTTGTGCTTCTCCTCCAAAGCAGCCCTGGCCGAGCACAGTTCCTGCTCCCGAACGTCCAAGCAAGCCTCCAAGGCCTGCGCCTGTCCTTCCCACTCGGACTTCTTGTGGGCCACCATAATGTCGATCTGCTTCATCAGCTCCTGCAGCTCGGCCTCGCACGACGTCAGGAACCCGCTGCGGGGACAGAAGGAACTTGTTCAAGCCCCAAAGCAGGTGCCACCCAACACACTTCTTAAATCCCAACCAGAACAAATGAGCTACACACTTTACATACAGACATTTTGTTCCCTTTTAATCCTAGAGGCATAACAAGCACCTACATACACTTATCCCTTTGTCTTCGTACTACACGTTATCTAAGTAAAAGGACCAGATTTTATCCATATTTTCTAATCTTCTTAATTGCTCTCCAGGCAGAGACATTTTATACCAACTTCCAGCCACTTGAGAATTCTTACAGCCAAGCGATCAGCTCCTGAAAATAGAAGTTTATCACAAATGCAAACAAAATCCTAAATGGAAGGGGCTGCATGACAGGATGCTAATGAAGAATAAAGCATTCGCAACCCACTGGGGCCAGCAGCTCCCCAGCGACTGCAGGATTTCTAATTTGGTGCAGTAATTATTGGAGCCAATTCAGCTAACTCCTCTCCAACTTCACGAGCTGCTAAGCCCGGGACAATATTAAGGCTTGCAAGATGCAGCCCTAGAGGGCAGGGAACTCGATGATGATCTTTACCCCTTTAATTTGCCTGTCAAACGGGAAGCGCTCCGAAGAAATGGAAATCAATAGGTTAAGGGATCGAARCGTCTCTGTTCCCCCAGAGCCTGTGCAACTTGACGGGTGGTTTAATAGGGAAAGAAATAGTTCTTAAAGGAGCCAAAATCATTTGGGTTTGAAGTTCAGCCTGCCCTGCGAGTTACTGAAAATTAGCAGCCTTTATGCAGAGCAAGAACATTTCTTTCTCAGCAACTGCTAAAATAAAGTTCAGTCTAAGCCTGGTTTTTGCTAACAGCTATTTGCAGAGGAAACACACGGCATCAGTAAATTTGGCTCAATTTCTCAAAGACATCTCTGAAAAACCACCTCAATGATGTTTGCTTCACACTTGCTTAACATATAAAGCCATGTTTCTCTCTCCCATTATTGACAGCGCAGTCTCTCTGGGATCCAAAATCTAGATTTTTTTCCCCCACGACAAAGAGTGAAGGATTCTTCAGAGCTGAACAGCGCTCTACAGTGCCAGCGTGCTCAAGAAATAATCAGATGTTTCCAATAAAAACAGGCAGCAACGGCACATCTCATTAACCTGACAGGGCTCTTACAGAGATACTTATTCCCTTTTAATTGCTCCTGCTCCTGGTGTTAGAAGGCAAGGAGGGTTTTAAAAACAAAAGGAGGTAGACTTTTTAGGGAAGACGACACATAAAAATAGCAACAGGGCCACGGTATCAGACAGCGGGATTACCGGGAAGCCGGCTCACCCAGTGACTTTGTTTCCATTTTAGCTCAAGGCCACTGCACTAACCAGCCCAACAGCAAAGACCGCATGTGAGCAATGGAAGTTTTGCCCGGCTGGCATGAGAGGATTTGGTTTTAAATCAAAGGGGAATTAGTGCGATTAGCCTGAAGGACAGAGCACGGTGCTGCGTACATACCTCCCCTGGCCGTGCCTTTGCATTCCTTCCAGCAAAGCCTCCATCCCCAAATCCCGGGGGCGTTAGCAGCTAGGAGAGCAAACACAAAGCAGAGGTCAACCAAGGCAGCAAGCTGGTTCCTTTGCCCGGCCGCTGAAGACACAACTGAACCCTGCAGGAAGTTTACACAACAGCACGATACAGCGGGGGTGCMCAGGTACGGGGGAGAATAGCGGGCACCCTCGCGGATTTACAAGGCCAAATAAAGGGAAAAAGATCTTCCCACAAACGCAGAGGCTGGAGCTGTGAGCGCCGGGAGCGTGGGAGGATTCGGCGGCGTTACCTGCTGCCCAGGGGAGCGGCAGCAAAGGGAGCCCGTGCTCCGCGAGCCGCTTGGCTCGGCGCACCGGGACCTCCGGGCGTCCCGAGGAAGCCCAGGCCCAAGAGCCGCCTCCGAGGGCGTATTTGCTGTTTTGGAGAAAACATCTCATACACAAGCGGCATTCAAAGCCCCTACCATGAGCTCGGTCTCTACTACAAGCCAGCCTAACAGCCCGCAGAGCTCATGAYGGCTTTCGGCCGCTGCGGCTCAGCACGGACGTGTCCGTCAATGCAGCCCTGCCCGCTCGCGGGCGCCTCTGGCCTCTAAGGCCACGGCAATAACCGGAGCGGCTCCGGAGCAGCGCGCGGGCTCCGGGGAGGCGGCTCCTGGGCGCGCAGCGGGGCTGCTCCGCACTGAAGGGACGGGGACGGACGGGGAGGCGGCAGGTGGCGGGTACCGGCGCTCGGTGCCGG